GCTATAGCGTGGAGTTCTTCTAAGGATCTCAGCTCCTCCATTTGATTAAACCAGGTTGATTGTCACCTTTTTAATCTCCACACCTCCAACATCTATTTTCTTTGCCTGGGGAAAATGTAGATATTCTACTTGGGACCAGATACCAATGATTTAAAAGTTGGAAATAGCATTCCAATAAATGCAATCGTCATAATCAATTTGAATATTTAAGTATTTTTTCCATTTCTTTAAAGTGGGTTTAATATTTTGTTCAGGATCGTTAATAACCAGTTCCATACACCCAGCTATTAACTTTGTTAATGTTGTTTTTTTCAATAATTTCACTTTATCTGTTTTAAATGCTAAATTATTATATAAAAACCCTTTTATTCCTAGATAGTTAAAGATGTCTTTACTGTCCAAGTTATATTCTGTTTTTAGTATAGAAAAATCTTTTAACTTATTATTATACAATAAATTTTTTATATTTAAAAGGCCAGCTTTGATCCAGTTGTTTAGATTTAAATCTTCTATATTATTAGATATGCAACACAAAGGGATGCAGGGAATTAATTTATTTTGAATCAGTAAATCTTTCTTACATTTCTCCTATTGTTTTATGATTTTTCAAGAATAGTACTGTTGGTTTTCTCAGCTATGGGGCTTTTCTTTTTGCTCTTTATTTGCTAAAAAAAAAAAAAAGTGTTCTTAAATCCATTTTGTGTTTTTTCTGGGTCAACACTTGTTCCATTTTGTACCATTTTTGATCTTTAATATTATCTAGTTGTGTTGTTAAAGCATGTGCTATATTACAAGCCTTCTGGTAGTCTTCTAAGATGGGTAGCCCGAGTCCTCCCTTTTTAACCTTTACCGCCAAGCGTCTGGCGCTTAAGCAAGGGTGTTTTCCTGACCATACAAACTTGTTAATAAGGGACTATGCTAAAAGAATCCAGCTATCTAGACATGGTAAAGGTACCATTCAAAATAAATAAATGCACTTTAGGGTATACGATCTGACTATGTTGATTCTTCCCCACTATTAGACCTCAGTGTTTATCCATTCCCTCAATTTCTTACCAGTTTCTTTTAATAATGGCATAAAGTCTAATTCCATTATTTTAGACGGGTCCTGCGTGATCTCAATCCCCAGGCAATTTAACGATTCCTGGACTTTGAAACCAAAAGTCTGCTTGAAGCCTTCGACAACATACTGAGGCAAGTTTAACTGCAGTGCGACCGTTTTATCTAGATTCGATTTGTAACCTGAAAGGTCTGAAAACTCTTTCATAAGGGATGTCAATTCCCTCATAGAGTTTATTGGGTCGCTCAGCGTAAGTACGATGTCATCTGCATAAACTGTAATTTTGACAATATCATCTAGAATGTTCAGACACTGAAATTTGATTCTTGGCTCTTATCGCATTCATTAAAGGCTCTATTGCCATAAGGTATAAGTGTGGTGAGAGTGGACACCCCTGTCTTGTCCCATTCTTTAAATGGAACCATTCAGTGGAAAATCCGCCCCCTACCACCTTGGCCGTCAGCGAGGTGTACAAACCATTATAGAACTTTTGATATCACCCGTTATCCCAAAGGCCTGCAATGCTTCCTCCAGGAAGTCCCACCTGACTCTGTCAAAGGCTTTTTCAGCATCTAATGACAGAGCCAGGAGGGGCACCCTTTTCTTACAAGCCAGATCCATCATGTTTACCAGTCTTCTGATATTAAAAACTGGAGATTTACTTGCAACAAACCCCACTTTGTCCCAGTGTATTATCATGGGTATTATGTTAATAATTCTTGCTGCAATTACTGCAGAATACAACTTCATGTCTGTACTTAACAGAGAGATGGGCCTGAAATGTCCTATTATTTCTGGGTTTTTATTTGCCTTGGGTATAGGCACTATATACTTCTTTTCAGGAGGTATTTTACCTGTAGACGTAATATAATTAAACATTCTAATGAGCCTCCCCACAAGATTGACGTTCAACATTTTATAAAAAGAATTTCCAAAATCATCCGGACCAGGGGATTTAGTAGTTTTAAATTTTTTTATAGCGTTAAAAACAGCCTCTGGTGAGATAGATTTATTTAGTTGGTTTCATTTATCTTGTGAATCTTTTGGTATTTTATATTTAATGAAAAAATCTTGTATATTAACTGGCACTTGTCTCTCTGGTAGATTATATAGGTTTGAGTAAAATTCTTGGAATACCTGGCCCATTTTAGATGGTGCCAGAAAAATGTTGTTACCCTGAATTATTTTTGAAATTATTTTACTAGCTTTTTGTTTTTTAATCTACTAGTGAGTAGCTTATCAGCCCTATTGCCTTTATAATACCATGTCCTTTTCAATTTTTCTAAATAGTAGTTCGCCTTTTGTATCAATAAATCATTAATTTCGTCTTTGACCATTTTCAGTTTATTACCTGTTGCTGTCGACAGCCTTGCCTTACTTATCTTTTCTAGATTGTCTAGCTGTAAGTATAGGTCTTCTAGATTCCTTGAATTTCTTGGTGCCTAATTTTATTAAATTACCTCTTATAGTGCATTTGTAAGCTCACCATACTAAAATGGTAGGGATTTCCTTACTGTCATTTTCTTTAAAAAATATTTGGTCGCTTCTCTAATCTGACTTAAATTTTCCTCCTTCAATAACAGTCTGTCGTTTAATCGCCAATTTGATCGATCTTTGAGGAACTAGTTATTAGTTACCATTATAATTGCGTTATGATCCAACCAGGCAATATTAGTAATAAATATTTTTTTTATCCTTTTAATTGTATCTGTTTCAGCTAAAAAATAGTCAGTTCTTGACTTTTCTTTTACATATATAAGGATTTTCATCATCTGAGATTCACCATCCTCCTGATTTGTTTTAACCCCTGGTGGGGTGAGAAACCGGATTCATCACATGTTTGTGAGTTTTCTACCAACATCACATATCTAGTTTTATTTCCTGACTGTATTACGCTATGTTTTGTTATTATTATAGATCTACAATTGATCCACCTATCCTGGTTCATATTTCCAGGTTGTTTATGTTTCTTTATATACGTATACTGGGTGTTTTTCCCACTTTTCTTTGTTTCACTTATTTGTTAGGTGTCTGTGAGGTACACCTGGGAACACTTTTAGTTTTACGTATACTGCTTTGTTTTCTTTAGTGTGTATATTTTCTGCCTTTTCACAATTCTTGAATACACCTGATGTGAAAGAGAAAAGCAGGTATAATCTTTTTCTTGGGGGTGCCACACCCGCCATAGGTCGCACATGCCACCTCTCTTAAGGATGTCATCAAAGGCTCCCGATGTTCCTTTATTATAGCTTCCATTTCCCCTACCCTTCAAACTAATTCTATCTAAGGCTGAATCCAGAATGGTATTGAAGTCCCCAAGATATATAATTTTCCCTTGTCTTATCCTATCCACTTTATTAAATAATTTTTGGATGAATCTGTTAGGAGAGTGGTTAGTGGTGTAAACATTAATGATGGTGTAAACCTGGTTGTTAATTTCACAAATTTGAATATGGTACCTTCCCTCTTTATCAGTTTCTTGGTGAATCATATTAAATGCCACCTTAGCTGATATAAGAGTTGCCAACAGGGGCGGACTGAGAACCCTCAGGGCCCCCGGGCAAAATAAATCAAGGGCCCCCTTACAGGCCCCACCCATACTCTGCAGCAAGCGCCACCCTTGTCCCGCCTCCATGCACCGCCTCCAGCCACACCCTACACAATCTTTAGACACAAGGAACAAAAGGGCAATAAGCCCTTCGAGGCCCCAGTAGAGACTACAATTGAGGGCTAATGGGCCATGGAGGGGGGTCTTTCTAGCGGAGGCTATCTCAGTGTCCTTTAGAGAGTGTGTTAGAAAGAATCCCCTCCAAGCCCCATTAGAGACTACAATGGAGTCTAAAAGGCTTGGAAGGGGGTCTTTCTAACAGAGGCCATCTCAGCGTCCATTAGATATCCCCTGCTGGAAACAGTCGCCTCCAGGCCCCAGTAGAAACTACAATTGAGGGCTAATGGGCCATGGAGGGGATTTCTAGCAGAGGCTAGAGTCTAATGGGGCCTGGAGGGTGGTCTCTCCAACACTCTGGTTCCTATTCACAATATAACAACACAACATAGCTCGCTGATACCTAAGCCAAGTTGGCTCCTCTTACCTTAATTACTGTTGCTGGCTGGCAGTCTGTGGGCTTGCTGGCTACTGCCGGCAGGCTGTGGGCTTGCTGACTGCGGCTGGCAGGCTGGCAGGCTGTGGCTTGCTGGCTGTAAGCCTGTGGCTTGCTGTAGGCCTGTGGGCTGGCTACTGGCCTGTGGGCTGGCTAACTGGCTGGCTACTGGCCAGCCTGTGGGCTGGCTAACTGGCTGGCTACTGGCCAGCCTGTGGGTTGGCTGGCTGGCTACTGGGGCACTTGTAGATTATTTAAAGAAATAATCCATGCACAATAACCACTACTGCTCCAGAGTAAGTAGTCAAACCGTTTAAGAACAGTTTGACAACTTACCTGGGGTCTGCTGGGATATGAGGCTGTAGTAGGGAATAGGAGCAGTGGTGCAATGTGTGTGAAAGGTTCAGTGTGTGTGTGGGGGTGTAGTGTGTGAATGTGTAGGGTGTGTGGGCAGTGTATGTGTGTGGCAATGTTAGTATGGGGGGCTGTGTATGGGGGTCTGTGTGTATATGGGTGGGCAGTGTATGTGTGTGTGTGAGGCAATGTGTGTAAATGTGTATGGTGTGTATGGGGGCAGTGTGTGAATGTGTATGGTGTGTGTGTGGGGGCAGTGTGTTTATGGGGCTAGAGTTCACTCTCACCACTGCGACCACCAGGAATCCATGGGGGTTACAGTGTTGAGAGTGAACTCTAGCCCGTAGCTCCAGGGCTAGAGTTGACTCTCGCAAGAGCAGTAACGTTGCCATGGTAACCGCGGCAACGCTCTGTGCTCGCGCAAGAAGGACCCAGAGGAGCTGCAGGGTGAGCTCCCAGGTCCTCTCTTCCTCCCCTGCCCGCACGGTGCCTGCGGACAGGGGAGGGGGGGCATTCTTCCCTCTCTTTCTCCCCCCTCCCCCAACTCTCTATTCCCCCTCTTTCTCCCCGTGTCTCATTCTTCCCTCTCTGTCTCTTTCTCCCCCTCCCCATCTCTCTATTCCCCCTCTTTCTCCCCGTGTCTCATTCTTCCCTCTCTGTCTCTTTCTCCCCCTCCCCATCTCTCTATTCCCCCTCTTTCTCCCCCTCTTGCCCCCCCTTCCCCCCTCTGCCCCATCTTTCTCCCCCCTCCCCATCTCTCTATTCCCCCATCTTTCTCCCCCCCCATCTTTCTCCCCGTGTCTCATTCTTCCCTCTCTGTCTCTGTCTCCCCCTGTGTCTCCCCCCTCTTTCTCCCCCCCCATCTCTCCCCCCTCTTACTAAAGTCAGAGGGGGGCGGCCGTTTGATGCTGCAGCCGCCGGACCGCGTGGCAGCCTCGCCGGTCCGGCGGCATTCCTCTGACTGAAGAAGAAGGAGGAGGAGGAGCATGTGTCTATCATGCTCCTTTGCGGTTCCCACATCCTGTGCTGGAAATTGTGGGAACCGCAGGGAGCATGACAGACACATGCTCCTCCTCCTCCTCCTTCAGTGTTAGTGAGTGGAATGCCGCCGGACCGGCGAGGCTGCCACCCGGTCCGGCGGCTGCAGCATGAAACGCGGCCCCCCTCACAGTGTGCCACCGGACCGGCCACCCGGTGGCACCTTCCGCAGTCCCCAAATGCCACCCCCAATCCAGCCCTGCCGCCGGGCCCCCTGAAGGCGGCCCTGGCGGCGGGCCCCCCTCCCGGCCGGGCCCTCGGACCGTGTCCGAAGTGCCCGACCGGTCAGTCCGCCCCTGGTTGCCAACCCTCTTTTTTCTTTTATTAGGCATTGAGGAGACAAAAATATGCGGATAGTACTTAGGTTTAATCCATTGTCTATCTATAGCTCGCCAATGTGTCTCTTGAACTCCACATATGTGCATAGCCTCATTTCTCAAAAGAGGAAAAAAAGAGATTATTCAATCCTCTTACATTTAGAGAAGCAAATTTCATCCAGTTATGTCCTAGTTTCTTTGACATTCTCCCACAATACTCCCCTAAGGGGCACCCACCACCATTTCCTTACACACAAAACTCTTGGCCATTTACAAAAAAAAAACACGCTTACATAAAACATACAATTACCCGCTCTCTTGGGTCTAGAGGGAACAAAGAGGAGCCCCTCTAGAAGATGCATCGTCTTGTAACGGACGTGCAGCTACTAAGAATAACCGCCCTAATGGTAAGTCACAAGGCACAAAGTGTATGAGGGAAAGGAAGGAGGAGAAAGCGGCGTGACATCATTTAAAAAAAAAAAATCATGAGATAAAAAGAGCCATGAAAAAAGAACATAAATCTGCAAGTTCATGTACTTTTTTCGAAACATTTCTACATTGCAGAAGCATCAACAAATAATAACCTTTTAATATCATGTGCATGAATATCTTTGCATTAATTTATGCCTATTCTTTTGATCCTCCTGTGCCTCCAACCTTGTCCCTAATCCCTGCACCTACTCTTATTTAAACGTATGCTTTCACCCAATATTACAAAGAGAAAAAAAAAAAAGTCTTATATATTTCTTATGTGAATACAATTTCTATGCATAAGGTTAAATCCATTGTATATTCTCAAGAATGTAACCTTTCCACTCTTATATATTATTTAGTGCCCATTACCTCAAGTTCTAATTATTATATTGTGTTCCAGTATAATTATATACTGTAAATTTTTGTCCTATTTTTTTCATTACAAAATGTATTATGTCTAAACATATGTAAAAATTTGTGTACATTTCTATATTTTAATTCGACTGACTTCTTTCTCTCTATACATCCTAGTGATATTGTAACTTTTAAATGATGTGAATATAAAGTGTCTATAGACTAAAAGATTTCTCCACTTTTCTCATTTGTATGTGTTTCTAGTGTAGATAAAACCATTACAATGCTTTCCTAATTGTTTATTTTTAATGTGTTTGGAAGCTATACGTAGCTGAAGATTTATATGTATCAAGTCGAAATTTATAGGAATACATGATTGTGTTGCTGACCCTATAGTGATCCTTTAACACTTTTGCAGATTTATGCTGAATGTACATACATTCTATTTGGAGGTGATATATTAAAGGGACACTCCAGGCACCCAGACCACTTCTGCCCATTGGGGTGGTCTGGGTGCCAACTCCCACTACTCTTAACCCTGCAGGTGTAATTATTGCAGTTTTTTATAAACTGCAATAATTACCTTGCAGGGTTAGCTCCTCCTCTAGTGGGCACTTCCTGCTTCATAGCACAGAAAACCTGTGCTAGAGCGTCGCTGGACATCCTCCCGCTGTGTGAGGACCTCCAGCGTCACTCAATTCCCCATAGGAAAGCATTGAAAAGCATCGCATGCGCATTATGTCTCCTCAGCTGGCGGGCGGGATCAGTCTCGTCCACCGGCTGACATAAGGAAGAAGAGGAGCGGCGGCGACCCAAAACCACCGCCGAGGTACATCGGCGGGCGTCTCAGGTAAGCAAACGGGGATGGGGGGTGGGAGGGAGAGGGGACCTGCAGTGCCAGGAAAATGGATTGTTTTTGTGGCACTGGAGTGTCCCTTTAAGGTATGCTTGCTTCATAGACTGCTGTCTCCAAATTATACTTGCTATATGACCTTATGTGACCTTCCTTTTGTCAATTGAAATAATTACTTCCTCTTTAAATAAAAGACCAATATAAGGCGTACAGTTCCTTGTGATTGTGTTCCTAGTAGTTTCCCACCTCCAAAAATATAATAGAGAAATTAGGACCTATTTACATTTCAGCTGTGCACAACATCGTTTACAACTCTTTTAGCTTGAAATATAATTATGATCTCGCGGTACTTGCCACCCTCCATTGCCAGTACTGGGTATACCTTTATCTAATCTCCGTCCTCTGTCCTCCATCCACTCTCCCCTGCTGACTCTCCACGGACCACAAGACATAAATTAGTTACCGAACTGTTTATCTCTCCAGCTACGCTATGCAACTGTATATGCTGTCTCCTCTATCAAACGCCGACATGCCCGTGCCTCGATCCGCTCGCGCCCTGCATTACCCAGCGTGTGTCATCACGTCATCGCTCCACCCCCCTGTTTATGATCTGGTGAACCATATATTATATGGTTATGGTTACAAAGTTATGGTTGTAAGCCCCTTGAGCTTTGAATAAACACCACGGCCAAGCACATTGAAAAGTAATTAAACGTTGTCTGTGGTTATTGTGTGGTCTCATTTTATTTATAGTAATATTGCCTACCATACATATAACATGAACATTTATTTCATAAGCAGAAAAAAAACTTGCATTCTCTTGAATGCTCAAATCAAGTTTCTTTTCGAGAGGTTTAAAGCATCAAACATTTGTTTTTCATAGCAATATGGGAATCCTTAACATTCTCCCTTTAACAAATAAACCTTGCTGAATTGTTGTTTTCTTAACACATTTAATGTGTCCAAAATGAAACCAGCTGCAGATTTAGTAGCTGTGAATGCAACCTCGTATCTACATCAAATACAGAATCCCAGATACATTTCTTGTGATTTTGGTGTTTGTTTATGTTTATTTAAATTACTTTCCAAACAGAATACATTAACAGGTGTAGCAATACATACAGATTCCATATATATCTATAATCTTTGAACTAATGTAAAAGGAAAAAATAAACCTTATAAAATATATTTATTTGCAGATATAGTAGGATTAATTTAACATGCAGATAGAACAATGATAAAAGTTACAGACTCTCCAGCAATCTCTCCACTCCTGTGTTTTACTTTGTATGTCAGAATGGTCGAGGCACTCAGTTAAAGTAAAAAAAATAAAAATAATTAAAATAATTAAATAAATAAAATTAAAAAAATATATAACCTCTACCCTCCCTCCCTCTCCCACCCCATGTACTTACCGATTGCCGCTGTTCCCCCTGCTGGCGATCAGTCTTCTTCTTAGTAGGGACTGTCTAGGCTCAGCCCAGACAGTCCCTCCTCCAGGGGCCATTTGATCGCTCAAAAAGAGCGGTCACATGGCTGCAATAGGTGTCCACAGTGCTGCCAGCAGGGGGACTGCCTGAACTGACAGGCAGTCCCCCTGCTGGTGAAAATAGTTTTAAAAAGTAAAAAAATAAAATAAATGGTAATAAATTTTAAAAAAATAACATATATATATATATGTATATATGATATATATATATATATATATACACACACACATCTACATATATTGTATCTATATATATGTATATATATATATATATATATATAATCTTATATATAACATTATACTAAGTGTATTTTTTAAATTAATATATACATATATCAATATAAAAATACACTTAGAGTAAAATTACACACGTATATATATATAATATATATAATAACTATATATATTGTATATATATATATATAGTTATTATATATTATAAAATATATATATATATATATTATAAAAAATAAATATTTAAAATAAATAAAAGACTAAAAATAATTTTAAAAAATTAAAATATATTATATATATATATGTAATTTTATTCTGTTTTTTGATATTAATATATATATATCAAAATACACTTAGAATGAAATTATATATATATATATATACATATATATATATATATATGTATATCCCGTTAACGACTGTGGACGTACTATGTATGTCCGACAAAAAAACGGTTGTTAAGGACCGCGGACTTACCTGGAAAGGCGATCCGCGGCGATCACAGTCGGGGGTGGACTCCGGGGGTGGACTGCCGGAGACCCCAGCAGTCCCCCTGCAGCAGCTCCGGCCCTCCAGGGCCATGTGATCACCATGATCACACCGCCGCAATAGGAGTCTAGGAGCTGCCAGCAAGGGACCGTCTGAGCTGTCAGACAGGTGTCATTGTATGTAGAATTGTGTTACATTTCAAAACAATTCTACATACAATGACACCTTCCTAGTGTACTGGGATTTGTGGGGGTTGGAGGTTTGGAGACGCTTGGAAGTTTAGAGCCTAAAAACTTGAAAAGGCTCTAAAAAATGTGAGTTTATATATATTTGCAACTCACTTTTTGCCATATCACTTAATATACTGCACAATTATTTGTATATATTTTTTTCTGTTTTTTCTGTATATATATTACACTAAGGAAAAAGAGAAAGGGTAAGTGTTTCTGAATATTT